GGTAGGTAGGTAGGTAGGTAGGTAGGTAGGTAGGTAGGTAGGTAGGTAGGTAGGTAGGTAGGTAGGTAGGTAGGTAGGTAGGTAGGTAGGTAGGTAGGTAGGTAGGTAGGTAGGTAGGTAGGTAGGTAGGTAGGTAGGTAGGTAGGTAGGTAGGTAGGTAGGTAGGTAGGTAGGTAGGTAGGTAGGTAGGTAGGTAGGTAGGTAGGTAGGTAGGTAGGTAGGTAGGTAGGTAGGTAGGTAGGTAGGTAGGTAGGTAGGTAGGTAGGTAGGTAGGTAGGTAGGTAGGTAGGTAGGTAGGTAGGTAGGTAGGTAGGTAGGTAGGTAGGTAGGTAGGTAGGTAGGTAGGTAGGTAGGTAGGTAGGTAGGTAGGTAGGTAGGTAGGTAGGTAGGTAGGTAGGTAGGTAGGTAGGTAGGTAGGTAGGTAGGTAGGTAGGTAGGTAGGTAGGTAGGTAGGTAGGTAGGTAGGTAGGTAGGTAGGTAGGTAGGTAGGTAGGTAGGTAGGTAGGTAGGTAGGTAGGTAGGTAGGTAGGTAGGTAGGTAGGTAGGTAGGTAGGTAACTTTGCCAAACTCCGACATCTCCTTGGCCCAGAGAAACAAACCCCATTCATCAATAAGCAACCTTCCCGCGCAACTGCCTCCTGGCGCTGGACAAGCCACCCAGGGATCCTGACCTTGAAGGTGCTCCTCATCAGGCCTCTCTTGAAGCTGGCCATCTCAGTGGCCATCCCTATCTTTCCTGGAAGAAAACGGGTTTGCAAAAGGGGTGGGGGTTCATTGCCCCTTCCTCCCATGCTGTCATCAGCATCAGCATCACAAAAATCACACCACACCCTCAGAGCTATAAAGAACAGCAATATTAGCAACCGCATACACGCTGTGCCCATAAAGTATTTAACAGAGAATAAAGTTTTTGGTTAAAACTTGCATCTGTAGGTAGAGGATACCAGTCAATGTTTTGATAATTTAGATTGCCTGATGGTTGTTGAATCATCATCATTATCATCATCTTGGAACTGCACCGCCCTTTGGGTCCCCGAGTCCAGCCCCTGCCAAGGACGTCCGGTGGGGGATTCGAACCCCCAACCTCTGTCCCAGCAGTCAGAGACCTGATAGCTCAGTGAGTTAGATCTCTGGCTGCAAAGATAGAGATTGAGAGCTCGATTCCCCCATGAACATCTCAGGAGAAGCACCCCCAAAAGACGGGAAGGGTAAGCCACGTCCGAGCAAAAAGGTCAGAACTGACTTGAGAACAGATAATAATTATTATTAGATCAGGCGTATTGTTTCCATCCATGCCCCTGCTTTACACGAAGTGAGGCGAGGGTGGAGGGAAAAAAGACACAAACGTTCCGTTTGCATAAATAAAATGCATGCAATTTAAATAGAAAATCAATACATCTCACTAGAATGTGTTTGTTTATTCTACTATTCAGGTTTTAGCTGTGGGTGGGTGGCTTTATGGACCCTCTTTAAAGCACTTTCCTCAATCGGCTTTGGACTCTCAGCCAGAGGGCCTTGCTTGAAGTCACATTTGGTCAGATTGGGAGGGGGGGACTCACACTTTAATAAATAAATAAACGGTTGGCAAAACAGACTGTCTCAACCTGCCGGGACTGTCCGTTAAGAGTTTGTGGATTCCCGTCTCACCCCTGAAGCATCTCTGCTAAAAAAAAAGAGAACAACCTATGGGCTTCTCTGTTTGTAAAGCAAACACAGAAGAACTGGCTGATGGACTGGAAAGGCACAAACAACCCAACCTATGCCTCTAATCTTTATTTGTTTGCTTTACTCATAGCCTGCCTTTCTCCCAACAAGGAGAAAACTTTAGAAGTCCACGCAGCCTGGGAGCGTCTATGGGGATTTCACACCACTTCAAAACCCCACAACATTCTCACAAATAACCAGAACCCTCACTGAGATGGACGGGAAGGGTCTTGCAGTCTCATTGGCGA